TTCAAGATTTTTTAATTTTGATCAGTCCAGACACGAAAAAATGTGGGTAAATACTTATAGATATGGTACCTGGAATGCCAAACGAAAGAAACTGAAGATGAAATCGGTTTTACTCTTTACAAAAACTTCATTAGGAAGACAAAAACGACATTGGAAATTTCCGAAAATTTAATTTTTATCGCTATAGTAGAACAGGTGATAGATTTTGGGGAATAATAGATAAAAAATAACATTACGCTTCTGGAGCACTAGGTCAGCAAAGTCCAATGTAATAAACGATAAAATAAATTATGCAATTTGAATGGTTTTATTTAATAACGAAATTAAAAAATTCATCAATATGTGGTTAAGATTTTTAATTAAAATATTAACTAAGTTAATTATAAATTTTTTTAATAAATCAATAAGGTATTATTTGCTCTTCCTTTTTCAACTCAATATTGTTTCGAAGACTATGCAAGTTTAGCGGCATATAATGATGCATTACGAGCGTCTGGCATAATGAAAGTATGCATGAAGCGAAAATTTCATGCTTAACGAAATCGGTCCTACATTACCGAAACGTATGCAAATTTCACCACATATTAAAATAAAGCTAAATATGCTTTATTCTCTATTTTAAAAGAGGCAAATGCAAAATAAAGACTTGCATAAACAAAGGACGCGAGAAAAGAAGCATATATTTTAATACCGTTACTACCAAAGAATTGCAATCCCTGCTTGATTAAGAACGTCAAGGTTTCAAGAGGAAATTCAAGAGGAGAAGATCCCTGACATCTGAAATCTTGTGAAAAGTAAAAATTAGAACTAATTTCGAATTTCTTAAAGCGAAAAATTTATTTAGCATTTTATTAACCCCTTGACTGTGACGCCCGAACTCAGTTCGGGCAACGAAAATGTGCGCCAATTTTAGAATGTCCGACCTGAGTTCGGGCAAGAGAAAAATCGGTGTTTCAATTCCTTGAAGCCCAAACGCAGTTTTTCGAATGCATAATACGTAATTTAACCTTTTCCCAATATACGGGCCTGAAATTTACAAATATGCGAGTAATCAGGAAGAACTTACCACTCGATTTAAAAGAAAAAAAGAAAGAAAGAAAGGTGACGTTCTGGCTTGCCAGCGTGGGAAAGTCACAGTCCTGAAATGACACCGATAAGAAAGAAATTTAACTGCTTTTTTCGGTCCATTCCGAAGAAATAATTGAGACAGAAGACTGGAAGAAGCAAAAGAAACTGGAACCTAAAAAAAAGTAGTCGCTGATTATAACCCCCTATGAGAGGGTACTGCATACCATTCTGTAGAAATGATTGAGACGAAAGACTGGAAGATGCAAAAGAAATTTAAACCTAAAAAAGTAGTCGCTGACTATAACCCCACTATGAAAGGTGTTGATAAACTTGATCAACACCATACAGATTATCTCATTCTCGGAAAACGTGAAAAGAAATACTACGTAAAGATATTTTCCCCATTTTCTGGATCAAGCACTTTGGAATTCCTTTATTATTTATCAGTCGTAAGGCCGTGGGAAATGTAATATGAACTGAAGAATCTCAATCAAATGGAACAAATCATTGAAGATAATAAGACATACATTCAGCCGACAGGACCAGGGCGTCCTAATGTGAACTTGTTGCGACTTACGGGTCAACACTTTCCTGAACACATTCCACCAACGGAGGAAAAGACCACTCAGATCAGACAATGTTCCCTTTGTTATCGTAAAACTAATGAAATGAGAGAGAGAGGATGCGACGCCAGACTAGAGTTTATTGTAAAGACTGATGTAGGCTTGTGTGCTCTGCCATATTTTCGTATATACCATGCTGTGAAAGATTTGTGAAATTCAAAGAGTATCTGAGGGACACGGAATTCATGACAGTTGATATAAATAATAATATTGTTGTATTAGTTAATTATATTTATCTTGAATATTAATGTCATTTGATTTATTTTGCTGTAATATAAGCAAATTAAAATTAAAATTATTTTTTTTAAAGAAATAATCTATTTCTAACATTTTAATGATAATAACGAACAAAATTAAAGGGAAAAGGTTTTTTTTATTTTTTGCACATTTTTCTCAAATATGTTCCACAGGCAAGGAGTTAATTGAGATGAAAATATCTTACTCGATAATGATCTTACTCGATAAGACTATATACATTACTTCAGGATTATCTTGGGAATACCGTGCATTACTTCGGGATTATCATAGGAAAAAAGAAACTATATTAAATAATGTCTAAAAACTTTTAGGGTTCTTGAAACCTGGATTTCTCATGCCCCAATGGTTAAGACTGTTGAATACTGAGAATTCGACCTGAGTTCGATTAAAAGCGAACAAGATGGTCGCATGGTTAGTTTTGTGGTTTTCCCTATCTGTAACATGAATATGATTCAGTTTATCTTAGAAAGTCCTCAACGAAAACATTCCTTCCCTTAGGCAGAGAACCCTCGTGTCGAGCGCCTTGTGCACTTTCTGATATGAAGCGCTCTTTACCAATGATTCAAGATGTTTCTTAAAATTTGATACCAGCCATCAGCTTTACATTGCATTTACTTAGGTGAAAGTTCAGTAGGCGTCTTCAGTAATGAATACGTAGAGCAACTCGTAAAAGAATAGGATCAGATTATCAATTATTACTCTAGACATAAAATATGAATAATATGTATCTTACCATCAGATGAATAATACAAGGAACAATAATGGCTAACTAATTGGGTAATGTCTTTCAAAGCAGAAGATTCCACGAATTTTGGTCGAAGGTAAAATATGATCGCTAGAGTACCCTAAATTCTTCCTAAATGAATACTTGACTGGGGATGGTCCGTTTCCGACATATTTTTATAAAAGGGATCTCTACCTTAATGACAGCTCCATATATGTAGAAAGAGGGGAACATGTTCCTTATATTTTCGAATGTCTGTTAACGGTTTCACATCACAGAAAACTTTCACCAATAGACTTATTAGGTTTCTACATGGCACAAAATAATTTTAAAATGAGCACATCTTTAGAATTTCTAATACACAGTCTCGAGTGCTGGAGATAAAAATGTTTTTTTTTTTCGTACAGTGTTACCATTCCTATCTTTGAAATCGTTGAGTTTGTCAATCAAAAATTCGTTACAGTTTTACAAAATATTAAATAGATAATAAAACAAATTCCAAATTAAGGCTTCCACACGCCCATATTCGGTGGAGAATATGGCACGTGAAGCACGTGATTCAAAATTTAATGGCTCTAGGTACCGTTGTTTTATCACAATGAGAGAAACATGCACATATTATGTAGATTCTTCATTATTTAATTTCTTTAAATATTATACAGGGCGGTAATATTTGGTGGCAACAGTTTGGAAAGTGAATGAAAGCAGAAAGTGAAACGATGCAATATGGCAAAACGAGATTAATAGCTCTTCTAGGCTGACGTCCTTTGGGCTAAAAATCACCAACCAAGAGGCTCTTCCTTCTCCAAACCTTTGATACACTCCTTAGAGTTTATTTAATATTACACTTTGTTATATCATAAAAACTTTTTAAATTGAACACTTAGCGTAATAGCAAATGTTGCTGTGAAGGGGAAACATTTTCATATAGTTAAAAAGCACAACAAATGAAGAGAGTTTTTAAAGTGCAATTTCTTATTTCCAGATATAGAATGAGAAATGCATTCATAGTGAATAAGTATGAATGTAATAGTAAGTACCACAATAGAAATGTAATTCATCAGTTAGTGTTTTGCTCTACAGAATGGGATGCAGAGACGATACTTGTTTTCTGTTTGTACATATTAATTGTCCTTCATACTTCTATCTATCTAACTACAGATGTAATAACTTACTTACATCTTCTTTATCGGTGGTTCTTGTGTTTTATTGGCCAAACAAAGACACTTTCCTTTAACTAAATCTATTTAATGAAGAGAAGACTATGTACAAATATTATATACAGATTACAGAGTATCTAGTTTATGTCACTCTCAACCACTCTCATCAACCTCTCAACCCTCTCTGCCGAAACTCTTAATTAGCTAAACATACGGGCGGCGCAGCGCCCTCTATCTCTTTTTTTCTACATCACTCCCCACCTGTACTCTTTAATAAGAGTACACAAACTTACTTACATAACAATATCAACATTAATTAATAATGGATTAATACTAAATGGTATGACATATATAAATGAATAATATAAAAGAATAATCTATACTAGTATATCAAAGCCACAAATGAACATAATAATTAATAATATAATAAAACTCAATAATATCAAAAAGTTCTATCTAAATTAAATCTCGATAGGGTATAACATCTGGATCGATCTTCTGAATTGTCCTTTGGGCGTGCGAACAAGGCACGCTCGAACATGTCCATCTCTTCCTATAATCACGTTTTCAATTACACCCATGTCCCAAAGTAGTTTGGATTGTTTTGGTCCTTCTACCAACACAATGTCTCCAGTCTTAATGTTCCGCTCAGTTTTAGGATTAGCAAAGTTATGCGCATTTCTAAGATGGAGTAAATATTGCTCTTTCCACTTGATCCATGTTAATTTTAAGAGCTTAGATTGGTAAAGCTTCCTCCTGGTTAAAGTCTCTTTGTCGTATACCTTGTTAAAAATTTCCAAGAAATGCTCGGGAAAGTTAAATGTACCACGTCCTGGCAATAAAAACTGTGAAGGTGTGAGCGGGCGAGGTTCACCCAGCTCGTTGCTCTCATATGTTAGAGGTCTATTATTTAGCACACACTCGAGTTCAGTTAATATTGTAGAGAGCTCTTCGAAAGTCAGTAATGCTCTCCCTAAGATTTTCTTCAGAGGTTCCTTGATGCTTCTCATCAAACGCTCCCAGAACCCTCCCCACCATGGGGAACGCTCAGGTATAAATTTCCATGTTACCTCTTTGGATGTCAAGAAATCACTCACACTTGGATCTGCTTTGATTCTTTTAAATCCTTTAATTATTTCACATGTGCTGCTGCGGAAATTCTTGGCATTATCTGAATAAATCACTTTGCAGCTCCCTCTTCTTGCTAAAAAACGTCGTAATGAAAAAATGAACACTTTTTGCTGACATATCTGAAACCACTTCAATGTGTACAGCACGAGTGACGGCGCATGTAAATAAGGCTATGTACACCTTTTTGTGGTTATCCGCTTTTTCTCTAATAGTAACTGCTCCCGTTAAGTCGATGCCTACAACTGTGAAAGGATTACTTTGGACTACACGATCTCTGGGTAACTGACACGTTAACTGTTTGGCGGGCTTCACTGCGAACTTCTTACACACCAGGCAAGTGTTAATAACTTTCTTTACTACTTGTCTTCCTTTAGGTATCCAAAATTTATTCCTGACTTTGGACAATGTTGCCATGACTCCTGAATGGAATACTTTTATGTGTTCACTAAATATCACTAGTTCGGTGAACTTCGTTTTGGGCAGAATAATGGGATGTTTTCCGTCATCTATTAATTCTGCTTGTTCCAAACGACCTCTGACACGCAAAATACCTCTACTGTCCAGATATGGTGCTAAACTGTAAAGCTTAGAATCTGGTGTTATTAGATTATTCCTCTCTAGTTGTTGAATATCCGAAAAGTAATTCGCTCTCTGTACTTGTTTTATCCAGTACTCCTCAGCTTCTTGGATCTCCAATACAGTAAGAGGACCTTCTTCACAGGCACGTTTTCTTAGCTTGGCGACAAACCGCTTTACCCAAGCTGTAACTCTCAACAATTTTTCGAGACTGCTGAATTTGGTAATGTCTAACGCATTTTCTTCTTCTGGAATAGTCACCTGAACATAAGTGCTTAAACGTTCCAAATTTTGAGTATCAGTTTCTACTTTAAACTTCTGCTCAGGCCATTGATCTTCAGAATCTTTCAACCATGATGGACCATGCCACCAGTTATTATCTTTCACCAATGCATTTGCTGTTTCACCACGAGTTAATTTATCTGCTGGGTTTTCCGACCCTGGACAATATTTCCACTTATCAGGCGAGGTACAGTCTTGTATTTCTGCAACTCTATTCGACACGAACTGCTTCCACTCACGCGCTGACCCCTTTATCCACCACAAGCAAATTTCGGAGTCCGTCCACAGAACTAACCTACCTACCAAATCCTGAAATATTTTCAATAAATATTTTCCTAACCTAGCTGCAACTACAGCCCCCCATCAATACCAACCTAAGGAGGGACAACTTTTTTAACGGAGCTATCCTACTCTTCGACATTATAAACGACGTACATACCTCTCCTCTCTCATTCTTATATCTAAAATATGCCACCGCTCCATATGCCACTACTGACGCATCACTGAAAATATGAATTTCAACCGACTGACCTTTACTTAGAACTTCTGTAAAGTAGTACCTCTCTATTTTCAACGCGTTTATTTCCTCAATTTCAGCGCACCACTTTATCCATTTGCACCGTAACTCCTTTGGCAACTCTGTATCCCACTCCAAACCTCTCTCCCATATTTCCTGCATCAGTCTCTTAATTCGCACCACAAATGGAGAAATAAATCCGACTGGGTCAAACACCTTAACTGCTGTGCTTAACACCGATCTTTTACTATTTCTCAACGATTCCAAACTACTCAACAATGACGTAACGTCTACTCTAAAACCATCCTTTTCTAAGTTCCACAACAAGCCTAACACTTTCAACTTACTATCTCTCTCAGACCTACTTTCTTCACACAACCTTTCCTGAACCCACAAGTCATACAGCTCTTTAGAATTAGTGTCTAGCTTTCTCAAATTAAAACTCGCGTCTCTCAAAATAGATACCGCCTCTGATGAAAGACTGAAAGCTGATTCTACACTTTCCCCTCCATAACACAAATCGTCTGCATACAGTGAGCTATTTAGCATCTCGACACAGTTTTTGTTTGTTTCCGCATTTCTTTAAATGATGTTTGATCGTTGCACTCAATAAAAACGGTGAACAATTACATCCAAATAATACTCTGTTCATTTGCATAATTTTAAAGTCCTCACTGTCATTATCAGGATACCAGAGAAATTTTAAATATTGCCTATCTTCCCTTGCTATCCCAATCATCAAAAACGCCTTTTCTATGTCACCGCAGAATCCAATTTTAAATTTTTCGAAAGGAAAGAAAATGATATCCAAAATATTCGGATTTAGGTTTGGGCCCTTTTCTAAGCAATCGTTTAACGATAGCTTTCCTCTTTCGCAACTGCTGCAATTAAATACCATTCGAACTTGAGTGCTTTTTTTATCTTTACGGACCACTGCTCGGAATGGCATAAAGTATCCCCCTCTCTCGTATCCTCACACTCTTGAATAATGTTGTTTTGTGTCTGAAATTTAATTATTTCCATAAACTGTTCCCTCACAAAGCTGTTACCTTTTAACTCTCGCTGCACCCTTTCGAACTGCCTTTTCGCTAAACCAAAATTATTTTCCAAATGCTCTGGACTCCTATTCCACAACAAGCGAGCCTCATACCTCCCGTCTACATATTTCAAATCCTCTTCAAATTGTTTAATTATTCGCTCATCGCCAGAACCCCTTTCCGACGCGCACTCAGAGATTCCTAGACTTTCAATCTCCCAAAGCTGACGAATCTGTTCCGATATTTTTATTTCCTCTTCCGAATCGATGTGTATAAACAAGCCGGTGGAGTCTGACCCTGAACTTAACTTCTTACTCTCTCCCCCCACTCTACCACTCAATGTCCAACCGAATATGCTTTCATGCAGTACTAAATAGTCTGTTAACCGATGTGTTTTCCCCGTTAAGATGCAGTTCAAGTAATCATTCCCAATTAAAATCTGTACCTCTGCCACTTCACTATCGCAGCTGTCAGATAAGTGAAATCCTTGTTGGCGAAGATTGTTTATAATTTCTAATTTCTGCAGATGGCGTGGGTAATGCACTGGAACATATGGTTTTTACTTCGAGTGCTTCGATGATTAGAGTGAACCCTGTCTTATTTTTTAGAGAAAGTCTTTTTCTTTTAAATTCTCGCACTGGAGGATTCGAAGATGCAAATGTATGAATTCTTAATCTTTCTTTACCAATAGTTGGTAAACTTGCTTTTCTGGAAATAGACTGACAAACATAAGATCTTTCGGAAGCTGAATCGCATAACAACCTAACGTTAAATGTGGAATTATTTCCTACCAGTTGACCTCTCAATGTTTGATAATAAATCACGTCATTAGGAATTTGCTTGCTCAGTGTTTCGAGGAATAGTGAACCAACGTTTGTCTCTTTTGCTGCGCTCGCAGTATTTTTAATGGATTTATTTTCTTGCCCTTCTGCATCACACAGGCTCTCTAAATGCGACAAAGATTTGCAAATATTACATTTAACCCATTTTGCCTTACAAAATGGTTTTTTGTGACCCTTTTTTAAACAGCGCTTGCACTTAAATTGATCGTATAGTGCTTTGCGTTTCTCTGAAATACTTAAGTCGCAGTCTTTTGAGAGGTGAGATTTAAGACAAAAGTCGCACATATAATTTTCGACTGATGTATTAAGCGTCGCCGCTTTCTTTTTAATTGGAGCAACACTCTTGCGATAGTTGTCGGTATTTCTTTCACTGGTTATTGAAAGTGTTTGTTACTTAAGACCCAGAGTTAGTGACTTTTCGCGCGCTTCTACTTCTCTCTTTAAACAACAATAAATCTGACACTGTTGACTCTGTGTCGACCTTTTGCTCCCTACTAAACTGTAACACTAAATCTTGCGGTATACACTTATATAAAATAGGAAGTAATAGATTGCCATAAGAATTAAAATTAATATCTAATGTCTCTAAACTTCTTGTTTGAACTGTTATTTCATCATATAGTTTTCTTAAACTGGATACATCACTTGATCGGCGTACTGGCTCTAAAGCTAGGAGAACGTTCATATGCGCGCTAACTAATATTTCTTTTTTCCCAAATCTGTCAGTTAAGATTTCGATGGCCTTTTTATAGTTTTCTCCTATTAATGGCAATCCGCTTATAGCTTTTGCAGCTGAACCGGTGAGTAAAGATCTTAAATAGTTAAACTTCTCAACATCTTGAAGCGTATTGTTTTCGTGAATGGCAGCTTTATACTGAGCCCAAAATTCAGTAAATTTACATAAATCGCCGCTGAAAGTTTCTAAGGTAATGCGAGGCAATTTAGTATTATAATTAGTTTTGATTTCCGAAACTTGTGAAGTTGTTCCGGTTTTACCCACATTTTGAATATATCTATTGACTTTCGATTTACATCTAATGATGGATTCGCTGTATTCTAAACAATGTTCTACTTCTGTCTCTAATTCCTGAACAGTGCTTTGAGCATTAATAACTTCATCATATTTTAACAAGCTAGTTTCTCTCTCGATTAACACTGAAAGCGATTCCTGCAACACTTCTAGGTTCGGATTCTCGCTTTGCAATTCCTCATCCAATTCCTTCTTATTAATTTTGTTACACTGGTACGAACCGAACCTCTAATTTTTCTATTTCTCTCGACGGTTTCTTCAAAACTCATTATCAAAGATAAATTGCATGCAGATAAATGAAATGACTCACCTTCTGGCCTGATGCTACCAAAACTTGCTGTATGTAATAACTTACTTACATCTTCTTTATCGGTGGTTCTTGTGTTCTATTGGCCAAACAAAGACACTTTCCTTTAACTAAATCTATTTAATGAAGAGAAGACTATGTACAAATATTATATACAGATTACAGAGTATCTAGTTTATGTCACTCTCAACCACTCTCATCAACCTCTCAACCCTCTCTGCCGAAACTCTTAATTAGCTAAACACACGGGCGGCGCAGCGCCCTCTATCTCTTTTTTCTACAACAGATTTAGAATTGGAAATATGGAAGCTTAATGAATAGTAAGAATGTAACAGTAAGCACCACAAAAGAAATGTCATACATCACTTAGTGTTTTGCTCTATAGAAATAGAATGTATAGACGATACTTGTTTACTGTTTTTTTGTGCATATTTAATTGTCTATCTATCTACAGCTTCAGTTTGAGTTTGTTTTTTGCTATTAGCCTTCTCATAAATTTTCACATAGTTGAAGTAAGTCCTAATTATTTCTCTGTTATTATAAGGCTATTTAACTGCTACTGATAATTATTTATAGAATTTTATTATTTATAGAATTTTATTATTTTAATATTTATAGAATTTAGGAATTAGTTTTTGAAAAAATTGCAACGTTGTATTTTGTTGTAATTTAGCTTCTACTTCTTGAACTGTAGTTTAGTTTCTGTGGATTTATAGTTTTAGTTATTAATGAATAATTTATATGAACTGTCTTGGTCTTTTTACTATCAGAAGGGAACGGTTTACTACACTAGGAACCAGAACGGAGATTGTCACGGAGACCTCTCCCTTTTTTAATGTAGTAAATGTCTCTAATTCAAATTATATTTCATGCAAAACTCATTAAATATAAAATGTTTCGTAAAATAACCTAATAATTTACCATTTTTTATTCTAAGTTATTTAAATTAAAATGTATATTTTTCATTTTGTATGCTTTGTTTCTATGGTTTTAGTTTAGAGTATATTGTAGAAAATAAAAATCTTACACATTTTAAACCAATGTCTTGATTTTGATTTTGAAAAGAAACAGCGAAAAAAGGTAAAAGTCTAAAGCATTCTTACTTATTTTACTGGAAACCGTTATTAAATTACAGAATTATAAACATGTTAGTACTACTGAATTGTTCTTCAGTTCAATAACCAAGTATATGTATAAAATATGGAAATAAAGCCATCGTTTTTTCCCAAATATCTCATTAAATGGTATTATAACCTACCATCTTAAAGATTCATTTTAGAGTTGTTTAAAAATAATATCGTTTCGCTCCTATTAAATTTTATAATTTAATAATATATAACTTTAAAGAAAATGATTCAACTACTTTTTTATATTTAATTTCTCAGTATTCAAATAATTATAATTTTTATATTTTTCAACGCGGTCAATTCCTAGGAGCAGCCAACTCCTAGGACCTGGACTAGATTCAGGAGAGCGCGGCCAGATTAAGGTTATGTTAATTAAAAGAGAAACATGTTAAAATATTTTTCCTTCTAAAGAAGAGGTGATTGATCGCCTCGAAATCAGAACAGTTATAAGGCATTTCTCCCACCTTCTTAGCAAGCCTTCGTGGTGTGGTGGTTTGCACACTGGGCTGGTATTTCAGAGGTTCGTGGTTCGATTCACGGCGAAGGCGTTTGCTAATTTTTCATCTCTCCGGCTTTTCCAATTAACCTAATGTTTCTACAGTGGCGCCGGAACTAAAAGCTTTTGGATGATGATTTTCTTCACCCAGGATTTGGCTACTGGGTCCCCTAAAAACCCCAGTCGCCCTTTAAAAGGGGAAGTATATAGGATGTTTCTCCCGCCTTCCTAGCGTGCCTTCATCGTGTAGTGGTTCTGCACGCTGGGCTGGTATTCCAGAGGTCCGTGGTTTGATTCCCGGCGAAGGGCGAAGGCGATTTCTCATTTTTCATCTCTCTTGCTTCCAAAAAAAAAATACCTAATGTCTCTACACAGCTCTTAAAAAAACGTATACCAATCTAGAATTGTCTTTTTTTAAGCCTAATTTTAAGTGTTTTTGTACTCTGAAATAATAATTTGTAAGTAAAAAAAATAATCTAATAGTAAATATAGTATATATATATATATATGTAAGATAAAATATATGAAAAGCAAACTTCTAATTTTAGTTGTCTATAATCTCTTAGTTTTATTTAATTTGGTGACTTCCTTTCTCTGTCTAAAAATAGCGCCTTAAGTCTAAACTACGTCATTCTAATTAATCATGTGATCTTACGTAATGCTTACCTCTTGCCCAATTAAATAATTGTAAGCCAAAACGTTCTTTAACT